GTCACTCTGGACCTGTTTGAGCCACTTCACTCGTGTTCAGGGGAAAGAGTGCATGTGTTGGGGACTATTTTGAGCAGCGGATTAATCCACATCTGTGCCGGTCCATGCATCTCATTCCTTCTGGAGCTCTGCAGCTCAGGACACTGACAGAGAGATGTGGGGCTTTGAAGGAAAGCTTGGATGGGGAGGATCCTGTGACCCTGCTGATATTCTCTTTGAGCAGCAGATCTAACCCAGCCTCGTCTGCCTGTGAGTCCCACCTCTTCACCGCCGCTCCCTGAACCTCGTGCTCTGAACAATGAACCAGCGAGCAGAGAGGGATGATGGGAAGATGAGCACTGCTGAATTTCCTTCTTCACTGGTATTAGTTTAAGTCTGTTGAGCATTTGACAGGATGCAAGTGTGTCTGGCCTGCAGCAGCAGTGAGAAGAGAAAGCAGACACGTCTAAATCATGGCAGCCGACAGAGCTGCTTCACATGATCCTCCAGCAAAAGTAAAGATGCATTTCATTTTAACCTCAGAATCAGTTATCAATTGGCGTCAGACACGTTCATGTGCAGGAGTCACTGTGAAGGGCTTTTATTGTGAAAGGAAGGAACAGGAAGAAGCTCCCTCTGACTTCCTGTCCTGATGGAGCAGCAGCAGGGTCGTTACAAACCGACTCGGGACAGAAAACGTTGAAAACGTTGAGGGTCGGATGGAAAAGGAAGGTCCTCGTTCTCAGTTCTTCACGTAGAGCATCATCGGCACTAGAGGTGAATCGAGCTCCATGTAGCAGAAGTCTGTTAATACTCATGAATCCACAGTTCATTCATAACCTTTTGTGTGGTTGGTGTAACATGACTGTCACATCCCAGAGTGATGAGCAGAGGTCCCGCCAGCCTCTCGGGGGTTAAACCGGTCGCTGACTCTCACACAGACAGAGGTTCTGCTCGAGTCTTATTTTTGGCTCGTGTCCGGCAACGTGGAAACACCTCCCACCTCGTCAGCGAGGCGCAACCTGAGAGGCAAAACCTGGGGCCAAAAACAGCTCCTCGAACCAGGAACACAAGATTTACTGTTCCTGTACGAGTGCTGCACTGACACAGACATGAGGCCTCAGTTCAGTCATCAAGTGAAACAATTTAAGAATAAAAAACTAAAAAGGTTCTGAAACGTGAGGCTTTGTTTCAGCCCTGTGACTCAAAGAGGACCTCCATCTTTCTCAGCCTGACGGAGGAGCTGCGTGAAGCGCGTGGAGCTGTTAACAAACAGGCTGACGAGTGTAACAGCTGAGCAGGGGGAGCGCTGAAGGTCGGCCGTCCCCGAATGAATGAGTCCTCACAGCGTGTGTGTCTGTGTGTGTCTGTGTGTGTGCGTTTTTATCACTGCTGCTGTTGTAGGGCCCTAAATCTGTTCACAGTCATGTTGTGGGGACCTGCGTCTGCCTCTGCTGTGGGACGACTCGGTTTAAGGTGATTGCAGTGATGGAAACTGTGGAGCCGCCAGCAGAGACTTACAGATGCAGTGAATAACAATGGAAGAGCAGCAAACACAACACAAAACATCTGTAGACTAAATGTGTGGAGGCTCACATGAACATCTGGAACATCCTGCAAAGTTAAACACTTTGAATAAAAGCACAGCAACATATATGAACCCCAGTAATCACAGCTCAGGGGACAAAACCACCAGAGTCGGCTGGACAATAACTGCAAATCAGTCAGAAAGAAACATAAAATGAACCCGAGCCCATCACAAAGAGACGCACAAAAACAGAAACACAACAACCCAAAAGGGTCAGAGGCTAGAACTACAAGAAAGACACAAAACTGCCAAACTGACCTGCAAAAAGACGACTTACAACCTGACAAAAGACAGAATTACCTGAACGAACCAGGAGAGACGCAAAAACAAACAAACCCCCGAATTTAACAACCACAAAAAGTCTCAAAATCACTAAAAAGAAAAGAAACCCAAAGAATATAACTACACAACAACTGCAACAAAAGGCAGAAATACCAGAGAGACATTTAATGACCATAAAAGGAAAAGAAACTAAAATTAG